CTAAATAGAGTCCTAATTTACGGTGGAGCCTTGGGTGAAGATAGTAAAGAAGCAATCAAAGGATATTTGACTCTGATTATGCAGGTTATATGGATTCCAGAAAATCTATTTCTGGATATGTGTTCACTATGTTTGGGACAACAATCAGTTGGAAAGTAACACTTTAGAAGGTCGTTGCCTTATCAATCACTGAAGCGAAATATATCGCCCTAACTGAAGTTGTGAAGGAAGCATTGTGGCTTGAAGGTTTTGCAAAGGAGTTAAAACTTCAAAGTTGAGTTATGACTGTTAAATGTAATTGTCAAAGTGCAATACACCTGTCGAAGAATTCAACCTATCATGAGCGAACCAAGCACATTGATGTGAGGCTGCATTTTGTTATAGGGGTAATCGAGTGTGGAGAAGTCCAAGTGCTGAAGGTTTTGACAAATCATAATACTGCTGATATGATCACCAAGATGTTGCCTAGCTGTAAGTTTTTCCACTCTATGCAGTTGATAAGGTTGCATGAAGAAAGTTAGTTCCTTGATGTTATAGAGTTAGATCCAAGGTGGAGATTTGTGAGATACTGGATCGAACTCTAGTATGGTCGAAGGGTAGCTTCTGGTTTGACAGGAATTAAGCATGAGGTCGAAGTCTGTTCGCATGTTGCTGTCGGAGTAATGCGTGTTGTAGTCGAAGTTTGTTCTAACATGCATTAGTCAATATTGCTAGGTTGTTAGCATATTAAATTGGGTCTTGCTTGTAAGCCCAATTGTTTAAGTTAGCTTGTACCCTAAATTAGCTTGTAATGGGTAATTCTTAAAAAGCCCATTAGGTTAGTGAGCTAATTTTCTTATAAATAACATGCTAGTGTCTCATCTTGTTAATAAGGAAAAATAGGAAGATAAAATCCTAATTTCAAGAGAGAGAAGTTATTTTTTTATTCTTGTATACTTGTAATCTTGTTCTAAGAGTAAGGAAAGAATAGGAGTTTATAACCAATCATTGTTGTTCCTTGTTGTTTTACCTTGATTTCTTTGTTAACTCTAACCCTTGTGTGTTTCTTGATCATAAAGAAACCTTTTATATTTTGTTTCAAGACATTCGATTTACAACAAACCTAATATTTTCCATCTAAGAATTTTGGATGTGCCGTATATGTTCCAATTTCTCTTCCACGTCGCACTAAGATGGATTCTCTAAGGAGGATTGGAATATATGTTGGATATGAATCTCCATCTCTTATAAAATACCTTGAACCAACAACATAAGATTTATTCACTATTCAATTTGCTGATTATTATTTTGATGAATTAAATTTTTCAACTTTAAGGAGAGAGAATAATCATTTGAAAGAAAAGATCAGTTAGAATGAATTATCACTGTCTTATCTTGATCATCGAACAAAACAATGTGAACTAAAAGTTTAAAAGATAATTCACTTACAAATCTTAGCAAATTAATTACTAAATGCATTAACCGACTCAAAAGCGTGACCAAACCATATATTCTAGCAACCAATGCCCCAATAAAAATGAATGTCCCTATTATACAATCTAATAAGTTTCCGTCACGCCTACAACGTGGTAGACCAATCAATTTCAAAGATAAAAACTCTCTAACAAAAGAATTAAAATGACCAAAACAAAGATATAAAAAGATTAAAAGAATCTTAGTACATAATAAACACTTCGGTAATACTTTTTAATGATTTAAAAAATCTAAAATTAAATTTATAGAAATAAATACAAAACTTTAAGAACATACAGACGGGTGAAGTTTTTCTATTTTTTACTTGATATGAAGAATACATTGACAAAATTTAATTATTGTTTGATTGGTTGCATTGTTATACACATTTATCACCGTTCTTCTAAGAAACAACAATTCTTATTTGTTTAAGATTAAAAATAATAACTAATTAAGCTAAATTTTATTTTAAAGTTTTTAATAAATCGTATGAATATTAAAAAAAAATATGATTACATTTTTTAAATATTTGGAAATTATAAAATAATTAAAAAAATTAAGTTCGGTGCATTTAAAAAATTCAAATAAATGTAAGAATGTAAATGTTGTACAAAGTTCCATGAGCATTTGAAAGATGCCATGCTAGTCTCAACAAGTCAACAATCCGGTTGTCTTTCTAATTAACAACCAATAGTAATAATGGTTGAAATATGGAATTTTTTATGCCTATATATTCCACTTCCCAATTAAAATCTCAAAGTAACCAACATTTTATTTTATATTCTAAAATATCTTAATTTTAAAAAAATTGTAATAAATCAAGGTATCAATTAAATTTGCACATTTTTTTAATATTAAAAAAAAACACCAAATCAATCGGTGTATCTCCTATTTTTAAAGAGACACATATATTTTTAATTTTTACTTAAAGAGGACTTAAAATGTAGAACGAGAGCAATTATGAAATCCTTTGCTTGGTTAGTGAAAGAAACGTGATACATGAAATAGATGCGAATATTTTTGTCGGAAAGCAAACGTTACGAATTGTAAGGTTGGCGTTCCCTTAAAACTATCAACACCCAACGACTTATAAACCGCTTTTATAAATTAAATCAACCGTTGCTTTCATAGTAACAAACGAAACGGTGTCACTTCATATCCTTAAATTAAAGCCAACTCTCCTTTGGAAATCTCCCCTTAGAAACCGCATCTTTGTCTTTCTTCCTTTTCAACTCGCTCACACACTTTACTTAACTTCCATCAATGTTTTCATCATAAAATCATATCAATAATCAACAGAAAATTGGTCATACACTATCTGTGTAAATTATTGTATAAATTATTTTTATACTATTAACGAATATAAATTTTAAAAATTATATTAATATTTTAAAATTTTTTAATAACATATGTTATATCAATTAAACCCAAATATCACTAATCAATTTTCATTAAATTTTTAACTTATATACACCCTAAGATAATCAATCATATCTTTTACATTATTGACTATAAAAATGGCAAATTTTTAAATAACTTTTAGTTTTAGATGGATACTGATTGATATAAGATTTTAATTTTTTAAAAATAAAATAATATTTAAAAATGATATGACATTGAATATTTTTGTTTGATTGGAGGAAGTATCAATATCCAATTAACTTTAAAGATATTAGATTGTTCACCCTAAAAAAATACTTTATTAACTCCAACCAATGAGGATGTAACAATCTCTTAAATTCTTAAAGTTATCTCAACTAATTATAAAATTATTTTAAAATTAAGAAAAAATTACGCTCACCACATCTTAAAATTTGTTATAATAATAATAATGATATTTTTATAATTTTAAAATATGTATTAACCTTCTTTTAGTTTATATATTCAATGGAATTTTTTAATGAGAAATAAAAAAATAGTTGGTAAATATTATATATTTATGATTTATAATTGCTATTAAAAATTAAAAGAAATGGGTGTGTTATATTAATAGACTTTAGAAAAAATTACACCATATTTTAAAATTAGAAGTTGAGTCATATTAATAAATCTCATAAATTAAAAATAATTTTCATTAAAATTAATTATATTGTATATGGACTAATAAATTTTTTTTATTGGAGGACAGTGAATATCAATTAACTTTTCTATAATGAATATTAAAAAGATGACGATTTAATGTATATAATAGTCTATCTAATAGAAAATCAACATTCTATTATATTATTTATAAAAAATTAAAATTTGAGTGTGATATAGCGGGATTGGCACTCTAAAATTAATTATAGAGTGCATCAACCCTCCTCAAAAGATACTAGAATAATTTTAACTTAAATTTTATATGAATTTAATTATTAAAAATATTTTATAATATTATTTAATGAAAATATATTATTTTGTTATATTGTATAATAATTTAAAGTATTTTAATACAACTTAGCGAAATTAAAAATTGTCATTAATTGACGGTGTTAAAAAAATGTACTGTCCAGGGCACCACTTTTTTCAATTTTATATTTTACTAGCGTTCAGTTCGTGTCTGTCTATCCGATTTTTTAATGTTCATGCGTTTAAAAATATAAATGTATTTTTTATGTGTTTATTTTTTTAAAAATTTAAATTTTATATAAAAAATTTAAATAAAATAATTGTACAAATTATCGTATATCAATAAAAAAATTATTAAAAAAGAAGTTAAATTTTAAAATAAAAGACAAAAGAATATAATTGAAATAAAAATAACCTACACCAAATTTAAGTTTTTGCTATAAAATTTACAAATTCATTGTATTTAACTTAATTATATATATTTTTATAACAGGATTATAATTATATATATTTTTATAACAGCATTATAAATAAAGAAGAAATGAACGAAAGTACGAAACACATGAAAACCTCTGCATTTTGTGTTCATTATTCATGATTCAACTCTGTTACTCAACAAGGACACAACCACATCATCGTCCTCCCCGCACTCTTCTCGACTTGTCCTAAGGTTTTTCTCTTTCTCTCTCTTCTCTGTACTCTACACACATGAACAATCACAACACACAAACTTTCATGTACTTTCATATCTCTTTCATTTCTAAAAGATAGAAAATTTATGTCACGGGGATTAGATCTTCGTTTCAAATTACCAACCCATGATTTTTTGAGTCTCAAAGTTTTGTTTTTTCGCTTTTTTATTTCTGGGTTTGTGTAATTTGGTTGATCAGAAAGTTGGTGGTAATTGAACCATTTTTTGTTTGTTTTGGGTTTCACAATTTCGAGATCTGATGAGAAAAAAATTCAATTTTTTTTCTTAGGAAGAGTAATAGAAATTGGCATAAGTTACTTAGTGAAGAATCATGAGTAATTGCTTTGTGGAGTAGTAGTTTATAAATGGATCATTTATGCTTTTAATTTGGTTTAACCTTTGTTGATTTCAGATAACTTGTTCTTCTTGTCATGCCATGCTTCTAGTTGGTTTGAATTTGAACTTTCTTTGTTTTAAATTTGGTTTCTGTAGGTGTTTCTATGCACAAGAATTTCGGAAAATCAGCATAATGGATGATGTTGTTTCGAACACTAGGAGATGGGAGGATCTGGACACCGATATTTTGGTGAAGATTTTTCAGTTGTTTGACATTTTCGAGTTAACATCTGGTGTTGCTCATGTTTGTAGTGCGTGGCGCATGGCTTGCTGTGATCCGCTTCGTTGGAAGACACTTGATTTGTCAATGTTACGGTCTAATTTCATCAAGATTCCGTTAGAGCCGTTTGTTTACGTCGATGAACGGTCTGATAAGATATTGACTCGTTTGTTGAAGATTTCGTTGAGTCTCAGTAGGCAGAGTATAGTGACATTGATCTTCCATTTCAACTTGTATGTAAGTGATGATATGTTGACATACACCGCGGAAAGGTAATTTCAACTTTCAAAAACAATATATATATGTTTTTTTTGCTGTGAACCGATTATCCTTTACGCGCAATTGTAGAGACTATTTTAGAGTTGGCTTCGACCATAAGTTATATAACGTTTACACGCGCGCTAGGGTTGTATAACGTTTACGTTGATTATCCTTTACTCGTTGAGGAATATGTTTGATACTAACATGTTAATCTTCCATGAGATGCTTTGTTGGATAGGTTGTTTGTATTAACTTTCTTTCAAGACGGAGATTTGAAACGTAGCGATTCTCGTTCGTTGTTGCAGGAGCCCACAACTCAAACGACTGGTTTTGCCAGCTTGGAACAGAATTAAGAGAACAGGAATGTGCAAGGCCATCCGTTCGTGGAAAAAGCTGGAATCTCTGACAATGCCTAGTATAGCAAACCCACCGTATTTTCTCGAGGAAATCGCGACACACTGCGAGAATTTCAGTGAACTCAAGATTATGGGCCCATGTGACATCTTCTTTGCATCAACTCTGGCTGCATTTGTTCCAAAACTGAGAGTCTTGAGCCTTCGTTGTACGACGCTCTACAGGGATGTTCTTATTCTCATCCTAGACAGCTTAAAACATTTAGAAGTGCTCAATATATCCCATTGCGTTCTAATGGAAGGCCTTCCTCCTCCTCAATATAAAAGAATCATCACTGAAATTGATCCGATTATTTGCCAGAAGGCTTCTCGGCTGCGTGAATTCATCACATGCATGGAAGATTCATGCATCATATGCCAACGAACACGGACTGATGAAGGGATCGTTAGGTGGTACAAGTACGAGGAAGGGTTTTGGAAAGAAGACGAGGTGAATTCTCTTGCACTTTAAGCAGATGATAAAACCAATCTGGTATCTGGTATGATCTGGTTATTGAACATTTTGGGTTTAAATTTTCTCCTTTTGTAGATCCAAATAACAAATTTTAATGCTTGCAAATTGATGTTGTTGTACTCTTTAGATGGACATTGTCGAATCTCGTAACTGTGCATACAAATAAATTCTATTTTGTACTCGGAATTTTGTTGGTTTCATATTAAAGACATTTGTCTGATATCACATTGCTTCTATGAGTATCGATGTCGACTTATCAGTATCGATGTCTTGTCTTGTGTATGTGTCTGATAGCTTACATAGATATTATTACTACATAGGTAGTTGTATTAAGTCAACAAAATAACAATTCAGTTCAACAATAACGGTAATGAATGATTGAGAATCAAACACATGGATGGAACAAATTCAACATTGTTCAAGAATGTTGTCATGTAAAGAAGGATACACAATGGTTGTATTTAGACACACTTACATTTTATACACTTATTCAACCTCTTATTTTTCTCTATATTTTTTCAACATCACATGGTTAACAGCAACACACACTCTGTTTATTCTTTTCCGAAGGTGTTATTGAGATATTTGGTTGTACACAATATTTTTCAAATAAATCAATAACAGATTTGAAAAGGAAAAAAAAACTATTTTTCTTTTCTCGAAAGTACCCTATTTTGAAAATTAAAGTCCTAAATGCCCTTATTTTTGAGTCTATTGGAAATGATAGAGAAAATGGATGAGATATATTGCACTATTAGAGAGAGATAGAGTGGAAGGTAGGATACAACTCCCTCAATAAAGTTAGAGGATCCACGTCCGAAATGACATGGTCACGAATGACTATTTGACACAATTGAATATGAATCTTAGTTCCGTCAATAAAATTAGAGGATTCATACTCGAAATGACATGGTCACAAATGACTTTATTTGATTCCGTTGAGGGTGAATCTTTATTTGATGTCTATATATTTAAAAATCACAACGAAATTTTAAATTATAATCTAACAATTATTGTTTTAGTCAAAGAACTTGTGCACAACATTTGTCGACAAATACATTCCTGAACTCAATTGTAGAAAAAGAAACATTGTGTTTCTTCTTGTTGTGACAAGAAATTAAGTAGTTTAAAAAAATGTGACAGATGTCACTGGTACTCTTCCTAGTTGATTTCTTCTTGTTGTGACAAGAAATTAAGTAGTTTCAAAAAATGTGACAAATGTCACTGGTACTCTTCCTAGTTGATTTTCACCCCCGTAAAATTAGAGTTAGAGAAGCATACATAACTATACTTCTACCTTTCGTGTTAGCAAAGAAATTTTAATGTACTAATTCGACAAAGGAACTACGTGAAATTTATGCACAAACATATGACACGTTTCATGCGTTTCGACCAGAGATAGTTTGAGATAAAACATCAATGTTCGACATATTAAGGATTTGATATGATAATTAGCAGAATTTCCAAAAATTAGTTGTCGACCAATTCGACAGAGCAAAGAATGTTCGACCAAAGCATTTCAAAATCAAACCAAATAACTATTTTTTGGTTTTATCAATTAAAGACAAGCGAAGCATGCAGAAGTGACGTGTCGAATGAAAGATAGTTGAGCGTTAAACACTTAGTTTTATAGGGTTATAAATAAAGATTCTAGCGCTAGGATTGGGATGCAAAATCATTGTAAACTTCAATACAAACTCAAAGTATTCATACGTAAGCGAGAAACGAGTCTCTGAAAAAAATGTACTTGCCTACAAACTCTTACTTATGCAAATAAAGTCTTTCATGTTATCTACATTTATTTGTTTTATTTATATTTAAGTTATCAGTTTTGACTTAGTCGAGATTCCTGTTACTTTTACTTTCGAATTTAATCTTTTTTCAAAGCAGTCAACATCCAACACTTGACAACATTAATGCACACTTCTTTTTCTCAGAAGTTTCGCACAACATGCCCCAGAATTTACTAGTTTGATCCTTCAAACAATAAATTTAAAACTTATTGATTGTTTGCCAAAATCACCGGTGAACAAAGTGGCACTCCCAGTGGGACCTATTTGTGCAAAATTTTGAATTTTCTTTCATTAATAAAAAGTGTTGTATTTTTATTTCTTTGTTGTCAGTTTTTTCTTGTATTGAATATTGTTTTCTGCGTCTAAAATTTTATGCGTTTAAGGAGTGGTAGAACTATAGTCGAAATGGTTCAACCTAAGAACACTCCACTTCCCCAAAATAACATTCCAGACACTGAACAACCTGTCAGATCGACCGTTGGAGCGATAGGGAGTTCAAATCCCACAAGAACCAATGGACCTATCCTTACCCCAATAGTTAGTGCAACTTTGTTACCATGAGTGGTGATTTCATTGCATGCGATGATAAGCATTTCAACTACTCCTAGGGCCACACAAAATGCTATAGAAGATCGTAGGCCTTCGTATGTTCCAGGTTTTACGATACCACTAATTTTTAGGGATTTCCCTTATAGTATGCCAACTGCGATGATAGTGAGATTATAGAGTAACACATCAACATAGGCAGATAATAATGCAGCGATAACGTCTCCTTTGAATCCATATGTGGCGCCAGGGTCTGCTATTATAAAGCATAGGCGAATCACACAACCTAGAGGGATTGAATTTGGCCCTCCAAGTACGTATGCTCTAACAACAAATTCTATGTTGTCCATAAGAAAACAAATAAATGAAAGTAGGGGTGGAAAACGGGCATGCTTGCCCCGTTTAGGCCCGCCACGCAAAAGCCCTCAGAAAAACAGGGTGGGACGGGACGAGGTGGTCATAGTTAAGGATGCAGGCCTAAAACATAGGCCTGCCCCGTAAAAAAGTGAGGGCGGGGCGGGGAAAGCCAGCGGGTTCTACACCTTTTAAGCCTAAAAATGAAAATTTTTATGTAAATACTCGTGCCACAAAAGCTCACAAAGAAAACGGGGCAGGGCGGGGCAGACACATTAGAGGGTGAGGGCCTAAACCCTTGACCCGCCCCGCACTAAAGTGCGGGAAAAACGGGCATGCCCAACGGGCCGATCCCGTTTTTCCACCCCTAGATGAAAGTAACCACAAGATGGTTAACATGATTACTCAGCATATCTGTACAGTGTTCAATCCTCTAATTTAGAGCACTAACTAAAGTTACCACTTATTGGCCAATCAAATGGGTCAAATAACTTGTTTTTCGGCGCCCCTCAGGCCCAAGTACAATAAATTCCTCAAATTGTGCAAGCCAAACCAATATAGATACCTGATAATAAGGTTTCCTTTGTTAGAACAAGATTTGGTTCTGCTGTTTATCTCTAAGTTTTGATAATAACAAGGTAGTATTTGTGTGAAAATAATTTTGGTACTCTAACGGTTTGTTATTCTAAAGTTTTAACAAACAGTTTCTGAATCTAATAGAGACCATATGCAACGTTATTCTGGTATGACAAAAGTCAATTTTGCGCCAAAGAAGCAAGTCAGCTTCTGTACCTACTCACATTCAGAAAGATTCTAAGAAGACAATATGTTGTTGCTGCAATTCTCTCTTGGACTCTACCTCTGAGCGTGACTCTAAGATTTACTTCTGAAGGCTTTCTAGCTTCTGAAGTTGTTCTTCTGAAGACTAAGTGCTAAAGACTCTGAAGACAAGGTTCTGGTGAACAAGTTTTGAAGACTCTGAAGACTTAAGACTCTGAAGACCCAGTGATCAACGTTTCTACTCATGCTTCAAACATCTCTATCTAGAAGCCTCTGATGTACAAAAGATAAGATTAAAAGTTTACAAGGGAAATAATACATAGTACATATAAAAACGTTTCATTCCACTACCATTATACTACCCTGATTTTGTGGTGAAAAGGACAACTTTTGTGTCTGATTTTCATCCCTACATAACGATATTCTTTCAAGTCGCCAGCTCACTCAAAGATATTCTTGATGCACCCTCCAACCAGAGACCAAGAACATGACATAGGATATGAAGAGGTCAAAGAAAATGACGTAAACCTAGCGGAAGTTAGCCAAAACCTTCATATGTTTGTAAATTATTGGAACAGTCTGACGGAAAGAATCCAGTCGAACCTAAAAATGATAAATATGTCTCACAAACGTACACTTCTGATGTAACCAAGTGCGACGAAATTTTTGACCTCTTAGATGCTGATGGCCAAATCATACTCCCTAAGGGACTAAAGATGCCACCTTTAGACTAATGAAAGAAAATAAGATTTTGCAAGTTTCATAATTTTTCGGGTCATATGACTTACTATTGTGTCCTTTTCAGGGATTTTGTGCAAGAAGAGTTGAATGAGGGAAGGATGAAGTTTGTTGAGAAGGCTAAAGCCCCAATGCAGGTGGACTATGACCATTTGTAAATCAAATATAAAAACTATGTTGGACCACACGAATGTTTGATGGTTGAGGCTATTAAGAGCCCTGCCATGACAATGGAAGTTTCTAAGTCGGAACATGCTGAGAAAGTCAAATCCGTTTAGCCTAGTGCTTAGGAGAAACTTATAGGTTTCCTCAATAAATGCAAATTGAAAGGATCAGAATCTATGTTGTGCCCCAGGTGTAATTTTGTGTTTGACAAAAAGGCTACTAAAAACCTTGAGAAAACTAAGCCCCAACCTTCTTAGGGGGGAAAATGGCCCCAGTCGAGGCCAAATTATTCTTTCAAAAAAAGAGGTGTCCTCTATAAGACACATAATGTGGCCACAAGCTACAAAAAAGGTTTAAGATCTACAGGCCCTAGGAGAAGGTGCCATTTATTAAGAAATTCCAGCCAAAAAATAGAGAGACGTTGTTGTCATACCCTTATTTTCACCTTTAGCCTTTATATCCTGCATTCGGCATAACATACATTGTTCTATTGAATATCGAGCATGCGGGTTCATAAGGTACGAATTAGGTTGATTTGTCATTTTCCATTTCAAATGAGATAACTCGTCTATCTTGGACTACATGGAAGAAAAGGTTCATTATCTAAGGTTTGATTTAAAT